GAGTCAGCTAATCACTCTGCACCCTTGTTCTTGCAGTTCTAATGTTCTCTTTGGGTCTGCTTCTGCTTCATCTCTAGGGGGAGAATCACCATGTGTCCCATGTTCACCGAGTCATGTTCCGTCTTCACCTCCATCTCATTCAAATCACATTCCCCAGTTGCAACCCAAGGGCCCAGTCCCTTCTTTCAGTGAACTTGTGGAAGGTCAGTAAGCAGATGACCTATCATACCTTTTTAAATCAGAGAGAAGAGAGCCTTTATAAAAAGTTGGTTTCAATAGTGGAATGCACATTACTTTGGAAGGTTAGTAAAAGGCAACATATATAGTGGAGTTTTGCACTTACTATATTTTTCTTCTGCATTATAGATCCTGATCCTGAAAACCTAGAACCCATGACTACAAATGAATGTCCATCCCCAGATGCTTGTAAAAGCCCTTCAAAAATGAGCAAGGTAATAATGTTGACCTTCGAACATGGCCATTCAGAAAAGTGGGTGGTAATTACGTGCACAGAGATTTTTCTGCAGTACCAAATACCAGCTTATGATTTCTGGACACTTTTCCTATAAAAATTTGACCAAACTATCTAATGTGCTAAATACACTACAGTAACTTACATTTCCTCTAAGAGTTCCACCCCTATTCCTTTGGTATCTAGGAAATTCATAGATGTGATCATCTAATGTGGCAGTAACTTTGGAAACTAAAAAGGAGGCATCTGAGATTGACTTCCTTTTTCTTTGTCCTTAACATCAATATATTATTTACGTAGCCTGGAACTCAGATTATATTTGAGCAATGTAAAAGGTGTTACAACCACAATCGTTTTGGGGGAGCAACTTTATTTACCCAACCTATTATTAGATTGGGTGTAGAAATTTCAATCATGGATTTGAAACTTGCTAAGTGTTTAGTGTGATTAGAGTTCTTTCATAATGGGGCTAAAAAACAGGTTTCATTACTTAGGGCAATGGTCGGCAAACTGCGGCTCACGAGCCACGTGCGGGCGCACACGTACAGTGGGATTGAAACTTCGTGGCCCATGCGCAGAAGTCGGTATTTTCTGGAAGAGCCACACTCAAGGGGCCAAAGAGCCACATGTGGCTTGCAAGCCACAGTTTGCTGACCACTGACTTAGGGGAAAAGCAGATTAAATTTAAAGATCATTATTTCTTTAACTTGTCTTCAATAAAAATTAATTGAAGGGATTCAGTTTAAAATTGAGTCCTCAAACCAATCTTACTCCTTACCTCTTTTTTATTTATTTAATATATTTCATTGTCTCTCTCCTTTCCTCTCTGTAGAAAATCAGAGAGCTAGAAACATCGATGAGAGAGAAACACCAATCAGCTGCCTCCTGCACATCTCCCACTGGGGATGTGCCCGCAACCCAAGGTACATGCCCTTGACCGGAATCGAACCCGGGACCTTTCAGTCCTCAGGCCGACGCTCTATCCACTGAGCCAAACCAGTTTCGGCTATAACTCTTTTTAAAATAGCATTAGATATTTAAGTAGCAATAAATACCAATATAACAAGCCTATATATATGTGTGTGTGTGTGTGTTTGTTTCTTAAATTTATAGTTTATATGATTTGTTTTTCTTTTCATAGCCTAACTCACCGGGACCTATAATTCCTGTTCAACAACTCACAAAACCAGATTCCCAATGGGAGGCAACAGGTATTGTGTCAGAAGCTGAGAATGGTGTTCACCTGAAAACAGAACTCCAACAAAAACAGCTATTAAATAACCCCCAAGCACTTTCAAAGAATCCTCCTCCTCAGCCACTCGTTCGTAACTCATCTGAGCAACTTTCACAAAAGCTGCCTCCTGCACCAGTGAAGTTACACTGTCCTCCATCACCTCACACAGAAAATCCTCCCAAGTCGTCGACGCCGCACACGCCTGTCCAGCATGGCTATCTTTCACCAAAGCCTCCTTCACAGCAGTTAGGGTCTCCCTATAGGCCTCACCACTCACAGTCACCTCAAGTTGGAACACCTCAGCGAGAACCTCAGAGAAACTTTTACCCAGCAGCACAGAACCTTCAGGCCAGTACTCAGCAGGCACCTCCTGGAGCGTTATTTACACAGACACCCTCAGGACAATCTTCGGCAACATACAGTCAGTTTAACCAACAAAGTCTGAACAGTGCGGCACCACCCCCTCCGCCCCCTCCGCCTCCTTCTTCTTCATCTTATTATCAAAACCAGCAGCCCTCTGCAAACTTTCAAAATTATAATCAGCTTAAAGGTAGTCTTTCCCAACAAACTGTGTTTACATCAGGACCAAATCAAGCACTTCCTGGCACCACAAGCCAGCAAACAGTTCCAGGACACCATGTTACTCCAGGGCATTTTTTGCCTTCTCAGAACCCTACTATTCATCATCCAACTTCTGCTACTGTCGTCCCACCCCCTCCTCCACCACCACCTGCTCCAGGACCACATCTTGTACAACAGCCAAGTTCCCATCAGCAACACTCTGTGGCACATGTAGTAGGACCTGTTCACGCTGTCACCCCCGGGTCGCATATTCATGCTCAAACTGTTGGACACCATTTGCCACCACCCCCTCCACCTCCTGCCCCTGCCCCTCATCACCATCCACCGCCCCATCCTTCCACAGGACTCCAAGGTCTACAAGCACAACACCAGCATGTTGTAAATTCAGCACCACCACCACCACCACCTCCACCACCTCCACCTTCCAGTGTTTTGGCTTCTGGGCATCACAACACATCAGCTCAAGCCTTACACCATCCACCTCATCAAGGACCTCCACTTTTTCCTTCAAGTGCTCATCCAGCTGTACCACCATATCCCTCACAAGCTACACATCACACCGCTCTGGGACCGGGAGCCCAACACCAGCCTTCTGGAACAGGGCCACACTGTCCATTACCAGTCGCAGGTCCTCATCTCCAGCCCCAAGGACCAAACAGTATTCCAACACCTGCTTCAGGGTTCTGTCCTCATCCTGGCTCTGTGGCTCTGCCACACGGGGTTCAAGGACCTCAGCAGGCATCTCCAGTGCCTGGACAGATTCCAATTCACAGAGCACAGGTGCCACCAACATTTCAGAACAATTACCATGGTTCAGGGTGGCATTAAAATGGACTCCTAAAACATTTTTTAAAATGTTCTGTAAGATAAACTGTATAATATGTACCTGTTAAGGTACTTTTTAAAGCTTGTACATGAAACTTTGTATTAAAAAACAAACAAAAAAACACCAGTGCTCTTTCATTGTATCGTTCCCACCTTTGCTTTTTAAAAATTCCTTTAAAAATGTGCTATTAAGCCAGTATTAGTTACCTTTACTTTGTAAGTGGAACATTCCAGCTGTTTTCCTGGCAGAATTGATGCTACATGAATCTTTAAATTTTATTGTTGCAGTTAAATTCATTTAGTGAATGTTTTCTATATTATTTTATACATAGGCATTACGTACAGAGCTAAGCAATGGCACTACGAGGATTTTATTTTTTTTCTTCCCGTCAGCAGTTCTGTGAGTGCATCTTAGATATAAAAAAATGCAATACAGATTTTTATAGTTTGATGTGGACATGGCTCATTTTGTTTTATGGTTATTTGCAAGCAAAATGTAATTTAATGTATAGATGATTTTTAATGTCTCCTGACAAACTGTAAATACTGCATTTCTTTTGCATATATAATTGCTTACAGCTTTTCTCATTTGATATATAGCATTGTACATATTACAAGTCTTTGCAAAACTGTGTGATCTTCGTGAAAGTAGTACAGTATATGGCCTTTAATTTCTTTTTTATTTTAAATATACTGTCACATTGAAGCACTGGTTGGGCATTTTAATTCATGTTAATAAATCACAATTATGTCCGTTTTACCAAATTGTCCTGTACAACTTCTGAGATTGGGGTCTGTTTAAACAAGTGCTTTTACAAAAGTTTGTTTTTATATAGTTTATAAGGAGCCTTCCGTTTTCTTTAGCAAATACTACCTCAGGGGGACTGCAGCAAGCATCAAGAAGCAGTAAAGGTTGTTCCTATAATGCTTCTGCTGGTCAGTGTTCAGGAGCAGGGGCCACAGGAAACTAGGTTATGTAAATGCTCTGTACACTGTATCCGATCTCACACAGACTGAACCCATACCCTGAAAGCATTGCACAGATACCTTTATCCTCCTATATAATAAAAGGCAAATATGCAAATCAACCAAACGGCAGAAAGATCGGTCGCTATGACGCACACTGACCACTAGGGGGGCAGATGCTCAATGCAAGAGCTGCCCCTTGGTGGTCAGTGCACTCCCACGGGGCGCACTGCTCAGCCAGAAGCTGGGCTCACCGCTGGCTAGTGCAGTGGCGATGGGAGGAGCCTCTTCCGCCTCTGCGGCAGTGCTAAGGACCCCTCAGGGGATGTCCGACTGCCGGCTTAGGCCCACTCCCCAAGGGGTCCCAGACTACAACACCCTTTCCCTCCCCTAGTGCACTAATGTCATGCACCAGGCCTCTAGTAGACTATAATTTACAACTGTTTCACAGTATTGAGTATTTGCCTAAACACACAGGAGCATCTAACTTGTACATTTTACAACAAGACTGAAATGTCCTGTTGATTTATCAAAATTGTTTGAAAAACGTTAATTTAACATTTACTGTCTTGTTTTGGAATTTTAGAAAATAGGAAATTAAAAAAAATTGTTTTGGGTGTACAAAATTTAAAGGAAAAAGGCATTATTCTTAGTTCGCCCAAGTAAAATGAAAATGGCCTCTCAAAGTGAACATTTTACTGCTGAAATATAAACTGCTAGTTATTTTAGAAAAATAAAAAATTATTCTTATGTTCTTTACCTTTCAGGCGATTGATAAGTACAACCAATAGTAATGACACTATTTGTCAACACTTTTTTCATCATCCAATTACTTGACATAATTTGGCACAGCATACAAATTCTGTGCATTGAAGAAAAACATGAACAGACTAAAATGACTAAGAATTGGCAATACTGTAAGTCATGTTATACATTTTAATTTCCATTTCCAAATAGCTAATGATAGTACATTAACACAGCTGCGTTTAGAGATCAATCCTAATCAGCTTCAAGTTTTAGGAGAACTTGGGTCAACTTTACTACCCTTGCCTTTATCGAACAAAATTCTACTTTACCAAAAGAAACACTTGTCCAAGGAGAAATGGCTTCACATTACCCAACCCAACAGTTTCAAACACTAGAACAAAGTTAACTAAGCATAGTGAAACATCTTCATCTCTTTAAAGGATTTTCAATTCCTCATGGATTGCCTACTAAATAATGTATATAGAATCTTTTCTGTCAACTGCAGAATCATATATAATTAATTGACTTGATAATGAAGGATGCATACATTCTCAAAATACTCAAAATTTCATTAAGGTTAAAAAAAATTAATGGAAGAAAAAGGTGGAATTTAGGAATTAATTTCAACTGTAGATATAAACTAAAGCTCTCTACCCCAGCAGAAACCAGTAGTTATGTTAACTATATATATATGATCCAGGTACAGGAAGAAGCAAGTTAGTAAATCAGTTTTCACCTTTAAAAATGTATGCTTTTTTGAAGCTCTTATATTGACCTTTTCTCTGCCTTTGGGAAGTTCTAATTTCCAGACAGCCAGCTTCTGAATCTGCTATAATCCACTGCTTGTCATTTTTCCATGAAGACTTTACATGGACTAGAGGAAAAGATAGAACATTCAACTAAAATCACTGGCTATAGTGTTTTGCATAACCGGCAGTTCTTTAGCTTATAGTATACATTATCATTAAGCCACCAAGAATCTGCTAAAAACCACACTGTACCTAAAACAAATGTATATTCCTTATAGAGCAGTTGTTTCATTTTTTAAAAAATCTTCACTTGAAAATGTGTTTCCACTGATTTCAGAGGGAGGGAAGGCGGGAGGGAGGGAGGAAGAGAAACATTGATGTGAGAGAGAAACATCCATCTGTTACTTCCTGTACGCACCCTGACTGGTGATCACACCCACACCTAGGTATGTATCCTGACCAGGAATCAAACCTGCAACCTTTTGGTGTACAGGACAACACTCCAACCAACCAAGCCACCTGGCCAGGGCAAGAATAATTGTTTTTTACATTGTAAACTAGGTAGACTATTTTATCATGAGGGACAGATCCTTCCAAAATTCATAATCTAGTTAATTTTCTAACAGCCAAAATTGCATTAGATAAATTTCATTCAAGTGTGCTATAGCCCTGATAAAAATTATTATGGTTCCTATGGGAATGTTGGATAGCATCGCTGGTCTACAGCCACCATCTGTCACAAAACCTGTATGATAACCTATAGCCTCATTAGAAAAATGTACAAGCACGTTTCATAAATGAACAGTATGTTCCACCTCACAGTAATAGGTGATATAATGCTCACTCCAAAGAGAATTATATGTATTGTTCCCTCACAGTGAACACTGTTGAAAAAGAATTGTAATACTCAAAGTATAAGTAATGTTTTTCATTAAACATAAATGAAAAGGGATCACTGAGATCCTAGGTATTAAATCCATACTGCAGCATCTTCTCTGAATCCATATTCTATACCCTTACAAAACAATGAGTGACTTCCTTGTATAAAGCCTTAATTCATGTTATAGAACTACATTTCTTGCAACAGGAATGTTGATATTTACTTTAGTTTTGAGTACACTACACTGAAAGGATAGCAAATGTTTTTTCATTCTATGGATTCAAATATAGGCCAATGACCAAGGCGTCTGGGGGGAAAAAAACCCAAAAACACTTTAATTTTTAAAACAACTGCAAGCACCTCAAACAATGGATTATTGTTACAACACTTGTTCTCTTTTCACAATCTAGTTATTGCAAAGGCATATGGATAAATGTTAATAGACAAAGTCAAGAAAAAGGAGGCACCTTAAATGTAAAATTTAAAAAAAAAAACACCCAAAACTGGCATTCAATCCACTGACTTCTAAAAGAGGCTAAATAGACCTCTTGTATATTATATCCTAAAACTGTATTGCCTACTATGGTTTGTGTCCTAGATTCTACAATTTTAAAGAAATGATAAAACTGTGTACAACCTGCAAAGGGAAAATCAATTTCTCAACTTCAATGCACGAAAAGACAAACTAGTAAAATTTGTTGTAGTCACACATAAAAAATGCCTACAGAATGAACGTGATCACTGTTACCTCTGAGTTGTTAATATTCTGCCCATTACACTGCAAATTGCATATACCATACCTTGGTTTCTAGACAAACACAAGCAAGATTTTCCAAAAATATGTATTTTTTCATTTCACACACTGAACATGTTTCTCTTGTCCAGTTTAATCTACGTAGACTTTAACTTAGTGTTTGGAAGAGGCAACACCACATGGCACCAGGCCAGCTCATTTTTAAAGGGAAATGGCTGTTGTTTTTTCTTCTTAAAAGTACTTTTAAAATATGCAAAAACAGGAAAAGGAATGCTAAACTATAAAACGTACTTTAGAATGGGAAGTATGCTTTTTTCTCTCTTTAGGTGCCATATAGGGAATGACATAACCCAGAGCCACTCTGTTTAAAATCCACAGAAAAAGGACTGTTATGGAATGAATTTTGTATAACTCCCTGGAGCTAAGTCCACTACATGCAACTTAGGCTACAAAGCACTCAAGACCTGGTAACTTTTCTGAAATTGGAGTTCCCATCCTATATTTAATGGAAATTAACATTTACAGGGTGCATTTACATACACTATAATACAGGAATGATGTCCCTTTGCCAGAAGATAAAATTGTACATTTCCTTGCTATTTCTTGGTTCCAACTTGATAATTTCTTAAGATTGTAAATTATATAGTATTCGGCTAAAATATTTCTTCATAAATAGTTACAAAACCTGCCAAAACACAAGGGGGAAAGTATTTTTCTTTAAAAAAAAACAAAACCTGGCATTTGAATGTCACACAACACAAGAAACAATGCTGAGGGACATGGTATTGTTTCCAGAAGAAAGTGGGCCAGTGAGCTACTAAGCTGAAGATAAAAGACTACCCTTCCCCAGGATCACAGTGCACAAAAGCAAAATGTCAAACAACAGTACCTCAAAGCAAAATAAAGGTCTGAGGATGAAGCCAGCTCACTTGTAATCCTGTTAAAAGAATGAGAGTCACCGTTTAGGTCCAATGTACTGGAAAACATTTGCTAGCTCAGAACGCTATATTTGTAGAATCTGCTAAGAATTCAGCCAAGGATGCCGAAGGCATTCGCCAGCTGAGGCTCGTTTTTCTGGAACCATTTCTAACATCGGGATCAGGAAATCTGTAAACTGTGCAGCATCTTCATGGGGCCACCCATACTTTTCCACAAGTACATCAAAGAGGCTCCAGGGCTTCAGCTTGGTGATGTGCCGCAGCTCTCCTGCAGGGAGAACAGACATGTCAGGAAAGCGCCAAGTGTGCATTTCCTACTGTTGTTCTAGGCAGGTTCTTTTCAAGGAAGCAGATACCTACCTGCTTAACACTATGAAACAACAAAGAAGGCCAGCTTTTCTCCTCAAGAATAATCATTAAATGTACATGAGTGTGTCATCTACAAGTCAGCTTGGCCAATGTAAACAGGCATTAATTTAACAGGGACTAGCTCGTTCACATCGATTCTAGGTTTCTTTACATGAGGAGGGCCTGGTGAGTGCATCTAAGAGGTTTCCATTTGCAAAACTGATGGAGGCACTCCCACTGCCATTTGGTATTTTTTGCAACTTGCAAATTTGCTTAGAAAAAGCTTTAAGATACATGCTATTTAAACACCTTGGGCCACTATTTTGCATGTTACCATGCAAAAGAAAAAGGCATCTCTTCCTTTAGAACAGTGCGATTTGAGAACGCCCTGTGATGGTAGCCTACGATGCACTTCATCTGCACTCCAGGGGACAGTGCAGGCTGGCTATGGTTTCTGAGCACTTGAAATATGGTCAGTGTGGCTAAGGAATTCCAGCTTTAATGTGTTTAAATGTAAGTAGCTCGTGGCTCCTCTACAGGGCAGCATAGCTCTAGATGCCAACCTGTATCAAATACCATTCCTTTCTACACACTTGTAAAATCTAAGATATCAGAGCATACATTTATAAACCTTAAAGTTATTATTTTCAAACTGTGCTAGCTGCAGTATAAACCCAAGCAGCCCCGTGGACATAACAGAATGACTAAAAAGCTAGTAAACGGGCAGTAACTATAAACGCCTTTTTCTTAATAGGAGAAAAAGTTACCTTTAAGCCAAACTGCCCTAGGAAAGCTTACATTATGATTAACTCGTTTTCTCCACCTGTTAGAAATCTTCACAGGATACCCCACCCCTGCCCATAGAGAGGCCTCCGTGGGCGCCCGTGTGAGCACACAGACAAGCTGCACTCCACCCCACACCCTCTCAGGCCCAGAGCAAGCCAGAGTCCTGCGGGCACCCTATAGGCACACCTCATGCCAGGGACGATTTCTCCTCTTTCACAGTTTAACCAACACGGTGAATTTTCTCATGATATGCATTAACAGACATCCAGTTTTGTGCTTACAGAGGTCTTAGAAGGCTTCGTCTATTTCACCCACTTATTCAGCTCAATTTAGAAACACTCTTCCTCTTTCATTAATCGTAAAGAAAATAAAAGAACATCTCAAAAAACTATAAACACAGAAGTGACTGTAATCCCACCCACAGGGACCTTTTCTTCTAGTCTATACTCTTTCAATGTACATTGTTATGAGCTGCTATGTCTACAGAGTTGTAATCATGATGTGCACAGAATTCTGAATAAAAACATCTAGCACAGCTGGTGTAGCTCAGTGGTTGAGCGTTGACCTATGAACCAGGAGGTCATAGTTTGATTCCCGCTCAGGGCACATGCCGGGGTTGCAGGCTCAATCCCCAGTGGGGGGCGTGCAGGAGGCAGCTGATCAATGATTCGCTCTCATCCCTGATGTTTCTCTCTCTCTCCCTCTCCCTTCCTCTCTCAAATCAATAAAAATATATTTTAAAAAATATATCTATCCACACGTTCTTCTTGCAGCTTCTGGCTCCCTTATGAGGACTGGGGATGGAGTGGAGCCTCCAGTCTGCAGGGCAGGTCTATTGATTCAGGGGAAGCCACCCTCAAAGTCTGAGCAATCATGAATGTTCATCTCCTT